TAAGTTAACTAAGTAACTTGTTAACTAAGTAACTAAGTTAAATTACTAAGTAAGCTAAATTACTAAGTTACTAAGTTACTTAAGTTACTTAAGTTAGTTACTAACTATACTTAAGTTACTAAGTAACTTACTAACTTACTAAGTAACTTATAACTTAACTTACTTAAGTTATATTTATTTTCTTAAATAATAAAAAGATTTTAATAATATACATTTATGTAGGGATTATATTCTAAAGGGCATAGTGTCAAAATTCCCTTGAAATTATATTAGAAAGGCAAGGTCATCTTGCTGAACAACATACTCTCTCAATATGATAAATCTAACGCACAGTTGTTCTTCCATCTTCAAAACAAACTTGTTTCTTCATTTTGGCACCAGATGTAAGCACTGGCACTTAATGTTGTTTTTGAAAAGTATGTATCTTTAAACTCAGAACTACACTTAATGCAGCAAGATGCTCATGCTGCAGAGGCAATCTGGGCAAACAGGAGATCCATGACTCCTATTGCACGCTTAGGGAGGACATGTTAACTGTGCGTGGAATTGGTCCAAAATATTTAAATCATTATTTCTTTCTCACCTTTCTTCTGTCAAGTATGCATAGCTGAATTTACAAATGTTAATTAAATATAAGTATAATGTGACTCTGCTGTAAACATAACTTTTCTTTTTTTTTGGAGAGAGAAGAGACATGGTTGAACTCTGGAAATACTGGCAGTACACGTGCAATCAACACAGGCAAGAAAAAGTAGAACCCTTACTCATGGCTGATACACAGGCACTGTAATTGGGAGAAGCTTGTTCAATTGTCTCTTTATTAATGATTGGCAAGTAGCTGATGTCTCAGCCCCTGAGGTGCCCTAGAACTCACCCTAAGACATCTAGTGACTGAAGGGGACAACAGCACCCTCTACTCTAACACTATGGCTAGCTGGTGCCCACATGATTGTTAATATTCTGAACACCACTCCATATCTCTCTATCCATTCCTAGGCACTGCTGGTCTCGGCTACTACAGTTATTCCTGAACTTTCATTTTACATTTCCAAAGATAGCTAAAGTTACAGAGCCTACGTGCATGCACATGTGTGCCTGTGCATACACATGGGTGTTTAAGAGAAAGAAATGGGTAGAAGGGAAATCTTATTTCCAAGAAAACAAAGAATTTCATCATGGGTCTTATTTCTGAATGTCAAGGCAAATGCAGATAAGATTCAAATTCATTAGAGATTTGGCTCTTCATCCTGACCAATATAAAAGCTACTGCATTCTCTCATTGCTTACTGGATCTTTGAACCTAGCTAAAGCATATCATACTCCCTATACTGAAAAGAAAAAGCTAATTCCTGATACTAACGAGAACAGAGCACTCATAAACAAAAGATATAGCACTTCCAAAATACATCTAATAACCTAAAAATGTCACCTATAATATAAAATATGTCACCTATAATACAAAATGTCACCTATAATATAAAATGTCAATGTTTAAGCATACCAAAACAACTTCTTATAAAAGAAATTTATCTTTTATCTATAAGGATCAAAAATAATTTATTAAGTAGCTAAACAAGCGTTTAAGATAAAAGGCTTAACTAGATTTAAAAAAATCAAGAGAAATTGTATAGTTTTGAAAATAAATAAAACCACATTAGAAAAACGTTACAGCAATAGTGATTTTAATAAGCCACAGAACAGAAAATTCTATGACTGTTTAAAATGACTCTTGTAGGAACTAGACTGTCACTAACACATATGGCAGTTATAATAGCAAGTTGGTAATTACTACACATATTGATTTGTATAAGATTTATTTTATGTAGCATCATAAAATATAGAAAAAGAATGTTTATACCTGCATAGGTCCAGGAATACAAGACAGAACTCTCTCTATGTTCTCAGTGGTTACATCAACATCATTCACAGCCACAAGGACATCACCTAAAAACAGAGTAACAATACAAGATAGTTGTCTAAATATCCAAAAAATAAAGAGATTTAGAATGGAACACTGAAAATCATCTATTCTGACTTCAGTGAAGTCATCTATTCTGACTTCAGTACAGTGAAAAATGTAGTTCAGACATTCAGGGACCTGTCCAGGGCTATACAGCTCATTGGTGGCAGAGCTAATCTCTCAACTTTACTCCTCTTAATCTAAAATACTACCTAACTTGCACCATAACTAAATACAGCCCCATATATTTAAAAAGATAAAATATTCTCATTCTTGATACAATTGAGAGAATTATGTAAACCTGAAAGTCAAGTGGAAATTTTGTAGCATATGAGAATTACACTTAACAAGATCCAAGCCAACCACTTACATCCACAGTAAAAAAATTCTGCTGAAATTTTAATTAAGTCCGTGTGGTACATCGCAACTCAATACACTGTGGTATTTACTGCTTTAATTTATCTGTGTCTACACATAGTTTTTGCTTCAAAGGCCCCAACCATATTAAAACACATATCACATTTCAGTAAAAACTCCTTTTCCATGGGTTTTTAAAAAATGGCTGTGTTTAACAAATTGGTAAAAAAAGAGATCAGCATCAAAATGAAAATTTACTTACAGATTATAATTACAGGTAATATCAAAATGCCAATGAACTATGTTAATAGAAATATAGACATACCAGTTATCTTTCTGGCCATCCCTAATGAATCATTAAGAAATTGATCAAATAATTCATATTAATTAATTCATTCATTGAGAAAATATTTATAGAGCACCTACTGGGTGCCAAGCAATACTCTAATCACTGCAGATACAGAATCAAACAAAACAGACAAAATCTCTAACCTCAAAGAGCTTAATATTCTTTGGAGGAAATGGATAATAAACATGTTTAGGCTGAGCATTCCAAATCCAAAAATCCCAAATCCAAAATCTAAAACTTTTTGAATGTCAACCTGATGCTCAAAGGAAATGCTCACTGGAGCATTTGAGATTTCAAATTTTTGGTTTGGGGATGCTCAACCAGTAAGTATAATACAATATTTCAAAACCCAAAAAATAAAAATAAAATCTCAAACACTTTTGGTCCCAAGCATTTCAGATAAAGGATACTCAATTGTACAGATGCAACAGTATAACTTCCCACGAGTCTGTCATATTTTTGTACATCTTAAAAGCTGAGGCACTGAGAGTCTTTGTTCTATGTTTTCAAGGAGGTTTGTATATTGAACAACCTTGGACGAGTGTTTCCCTCCTAAGCAAAGGTCAAGTTTGTTTACTGCATGGTATACTAAGTCAGTGTCCTGCTCAATAGCTTATTATTAATAACTGGTCTTTATAAAAGTTGGTGTTTCCTAAGCTTAGAGGTCCTCTTGTTTAGGGAGGAGTTTCTTAGGCCCTCCTGTGAAGGCTTGCAAAACTCTGTACTAGGTTTAGATGCTCAAGAGATGCTATTCAGTTGAGAGTTCTGCAAGCTTGATCATCAAGTTATTATGACGGTCAACTATTGCACCACTCTGAGCAACCTAGCTTTTTAAAGTAAGAATTTGAAGCCTAAAACAAGCATTCAACTTTCAGTTCCACTTAGAAAAATTAAAGGCATCATACCCTTTTTATTCCTCTTAAATAAGAGATTAAACAAGGGTACTATGTTAACTTCTTTGGAGCTGTAGTCCTTTTAAAAAATAGAAATGAACACACTATAGGATTATCAGTGTAAAAACATACCATCTTAGTGATGTGTTCTACTGTCTTCAGTTTATGTTATCCTCAGGGAACCTAAGTAATGAAAGCATTTTAACCAAAAACTCCATTGGATGACCTCCCAAATAATTTTTTTCCTCCAAACCCTAATGTACATATTTCTGTAGCTGGGTGTAGAAGTGAATATTATCTGAAAGTATCACGTCCAACAAATCTCTAGTGGTTCTCAATCTTCCTAATGCCACAGCCCTTTAATACAGTTCCTGTGGGTCGCAACCCACAGGTTGAGAACTGCTGCTCTAATATATCATCACAAAATACATGAAAATAAAATTTAAAAGTGTAGTATACCTAATATTTTTAAATGTTTAGGAGAAAAATTCCCCATTCTATAAAAAGAAGAGTTACATCCACTTCCCAATTTCCCAGATATTTGCTTCCCTGTTTTTCTGAGCACTTTCTCTGAAGTGACGCAGAGATGGCTGGTTTGCTAGAAATCACATTCCTGCAGTGGGCAGCCTGCACTCTAGGAAAGAAAGCCCTTTTCCAACAAACACATGGGAGTCATTAGTATTCTCTCTCCTATTTCAAAGGCTGAAAGAAAATGAACTGTATGAATTGGTTTACACTATTAAGTAAGAAATGGTCCAGAAATTACTGACAGGTAGAAATAAGAGAAAAATTTTATTGATTGGCACATTTAAGAATCAAATATAAAGAAATGAGATCAGTTCATCACAGAACTTAAATCAATTCCTTAATATGAAGTTAATTGTTTGAGAAAACTCATCTATTTCTCAGTATGCACTTTATCAAATAACAAATGTATACTAAAGGGCTACTACATAAGGCACCAAAGGATGTGAAAACATACACACAAAAGTTTGTTTACTACTCTTTATGTAAAATGAATATATAACTTGAGAAATTATTATTATTTTTTGAGACAGAGTCTCACTATATCGCCTGGCCATGGCATCACAGCTCACAGCAACCTCAAAATTCGGCTTAAGTGATTCTCTTGCCTCAGCCTCCCAAGTAGCTGGGACTGAAATTATTTTTGAAACAAAATTATCACACATAAATGTAGGAAAAATAAAGAATATATATGTGTCAAAATATTGCCTTTAGGTATATGGGATTTTTATTTTTTTGCCTAATTGTATTTTCTAAACTGCTTATAATAAATATATATTATTACTATTGCAAAGAAAAAAATTAAAAACTCATATTTAACCAAAAAAAAAAAAAAAAACCCTCCACTGTGGCAGACAGAATAGCAGCCTCCCAAACATGACCATGCCCAAATCCATAAAATATTTGAATATTACCTTACATAGCAAAAGGACTCTGCAGATACAATTAAATTAAGAGATTGGGAGACTATCATGGATTGTGTAAACAGTCCTAATGTAATCATAAGGGTCTTTATAGGTGGGAGGCAGTAGGGTTGGAGACTTGGAGATGCTACAATGCCTTTGAAAATGAAGGGAGGGATCACACACCAAATAATGCAGGTGGCCTCTGATAGCTGGGCAAGGAGGCCTGGAACCTCCAGAAGGAATGCAGCCCTGTGAACACCTTTATTTTAGGGCAGGAAGAACCACTTCAGACTTCTGACTTGCATTATTGCAAGATGATAAATTTATAAATTTATATTGTTTTAAACCACTACATTTGTGGTAATTTGCTATTGCAGCACTAGAAACTGAACACACTTGTCTAACAATATAAAGCAATGTTTGCTAAGTACCAGTAAGGGACCATGAGTGCTGCATGACAGAAATAAGATATATGTACATAGAGTACCTTTGGAGGTCAGAAGGGAAAAAATACAAATCACTTTGTTGAAAGAAGGGATTTATGCATGGAAAGACTGGGAAGTATGTACAGAGCAGTAGGATGAAATCAGTTTGTACATTTAAATTGGTGATTTAAATTAAGCCAAATTTGACTTCAGAGGAAAGAGAATCTGGTTCTTGAAACAGTTACTATACTGCCACTTTATAAATCCAAAATTCAATGTTTAGTGCCAACGTAGTTATTGACAATGAATTTTATTTTGATTATTTTTTGAGGTCCCTCCTCAGCATACCATTCCCAAAGTCCTTGAATAATGGCAGCTTATATATTCTAACTATCATTTAGAACATCTGATTAACAGAATATCACATTCCCTGATGACAGTGAATGGGAAATGAGTGTAAGATTTTAATTTCTCATTAAATTTGAAAATCATATTAAAAATTAATGACTCTAGGAGCACTATAGTTATAATTATACTTACAAATAATTTTTAGTTTTTACCTATGTTCACATGAATGAGGTATTCATCCTTTTAAACCTATTAAGGAGTAAGAATTTTCACACCAGTACAGTTTTTATAATTATAATTTTAAATAGTAGAAAAACATCATAAATGTATTAACTTATAATTTAAATAACCATGCCCTTGTTTGAAATTTTTATACTTTTAATTTTAAAAATACAACTTAAAATGCTTTAATAAGCTTTTTTATCCATATAGATTTTTACTTCTTTTAATCTGGGTTAGCAAACTTTTCCTATTAAGAGCTAGATAGTAAATATTTTAGGCTCTGCAGGCCATATGGTGTTTGTTGAAACCACAGCTCTGTCATTGTAGCTTGAAAGCAGCTGCAGTCAAAAAATAAATGAATGTGGCTGTGTTCCAATAAAATTTTACTTATGGATACTGATTTGAATTTTATGTACTTTTCATATGTCATAAAATATTATTAAAAAAATTTTAACAGGACTGTACAAAATGGGTAGTGGGCCTTATTTGACCTGCTAGCTGTGGTTTGCTGATCTGTTTTAGCTTATATTTTAGGATAAACATCTCAAAATAGATTGATTAGGTTAAATGTACATTGTTGTAGATTAATACTGTACTTACTTCTAAATTACATTTTGAAAAGATAAAATAACTTCCTTCTTTGCTTCAAAAAGAAATCTTTTGGAATTTTCCGCTGCCTATTAATGTGAGCAACATGGCAAGTCAAAGAGCCTGGGAGCAGACATCAGAACACCCGGGTTACAGCTTTATCACTGACTGGCCTTCTGCTCTTGGGGAAGTCATTGTAATCTCTTTGGGACTCATCTGTAGAAAGAAGTAACTGCACCGAAGCTCTTTAGAAAGGCTTAAAAGCACTAAAATTCTGTATTTCCAACAAACTCACTTTCATTTTCTTTTCTACTGGCAAGTAAAAATGTGTGAAGGAAATGATGTGAAAGAAGAAATCCAAAAGTAGCAGTT